CCTCTGTGGGGAACCCGGGTGGGGCCCTGCCACTCTGGGGGTGCATGGCACAGCTGTCAGATCTGCGAGGTTCCCCCGGAGCGCTTGGCTCTGCCCGGGCAGAGCCAAGGGAGCCGCTTTGCTGCTTAACAAACCCTGTGCGAGGAGCATCGGGGCATGTCTGCAGGGTGACGCAGAGGAAGCAGCCGTTTAAGTAATTGAAACCAGCTGCATCGCTGAGCGGTGCATTGTGGGTAATGATCCATAATCTCTATTGCGCCCGGCATGGAAATTGTGGTTTTCAAACGGCTTTTTTGGCAGGCTCCCTAATCAAGGGGCTTTGATTGTCTTCCAGTCTAGCACCCTCCGAACGCTGACAGGCGGCTCTCCAGCCTGCAGATGCTTTCGCCATGAGTCTGCCGTCAGTGCCGTGGAGGGCTGGATGGGGGCGGGGGCGTGTGGCCGGGGTGGAGCACGTGGCAGAAACCACAGAGCAGGGAGCCTGGGACCCAGCAGCCTCTCCTCGTGGAGCAGAGCGGACAGGAAGCTGGCCCTCTCCCCAGCCAAGAGAAAGCGAGGTCGGGAAGCCAGGCCTTCCTCTGGCGAAGGGCAAACTGGCCTGCCTGCTCCTGGAGCCTGGCTGGCCAGGAGTAGACCTTGCGGGGCTCTCCGGCCCGCAGGGTCGTGCAGCTGGGGGGCAGGTGGGGCCCTTCCGCGGCCCCCTCCAGCGAGGGAGGCCTGGTGCAGGGAGACGATGGGGTAACCATGGCGACGGGGCTGCATGGAGCTGTCTCGTTGCGCATGGAAGTGGTGGCAGGAAGAGGCCGCGTGCTCCGGGCGGGCTCCCAGCAGAGACGCCCTGAGCGCCATGTGGGGGTGGGGGGGTTTCCTTTGCCCTCCGGGGGTCGCCGCTTTGCTTTCGAGCCAGCGCTAAGCCCTTGCTGTGCTGCTCCGTGCTCTGAGTCCAGCCCTCCGCCCCGGAGCCATTTGGCTCCTGCAGGCCCAAATCCTCGGCAGGTTCTCATCCCTATGAGTAGAAAGGGGTCCCCCAACAGGAACTAGGGTGTTTAGCTGCCCTGTGAGCTGCTCTGGGCCCTGCTCAGGTTGCTGCCTCGGGCCCCGGTGTGCGTTCCCCTCTGTCACGCTGCCCCAGCTGCATGGGGCTTGGCTTAGCGCGCTTAGATGAATGAAGTTTCCTGACACTGTCTCCAAGTGGCTAATGGTGCCATGTGGCTTATTGTCCGTTCCAGGAATCCCTGGGGAGGGGGAGTTGGCTGGCAGCAGCCTCGTGTCATCAGCCTGCTCCCCGAGGGAACGGAAATGAGTAAACCTCTTCAGGCTATTCTGGAATCTGCTTAGAAACGACCGGGCTCGCTTGCAGCCCATTAGCAGCTCCTGCCTGCGGCTGCCTCGCTCTCGGGTTTCGGAGGGGACCGTTCCAGTAATGCCTTATCGACTGCAATGGAAACCACAGCGCTTAGCTGGCGCGTGCTAATGGCTCTTGGTCGATACCCCAGGGTTGGGGCGCAGTGATTGCTCGGGCAGCCTGCTGGATTCTGAGGCTGCGGGTGGCTCCGGGATCTGGTAATGGGACACGGGCCCGGGGGTTGACGCCAGCGGCTGTCGCTTGGCTGCTCCGTGACGTGTGAGCCGGCTTTGGCGGCTCTCCTCTACCCCTGGGGGAGCGCAGCAGGTACACACGGGTCCTGTACCTGGCTCTGCGCCTGTTGGAGGACTCTGATCACCCAGGCTCTTGGTGACGCATCTGTAAGCCTACCCCATGGCAAACCCCTCAGAGCACCCCTGGGCCTTCATGCCCATCCCCTCTCTCTCTTCAGGTGGCTCGACGGTGGGGAATCCAGAAGAACCGACCGGCCATGAACTACGACGCAGGTACACACGGGTCCTGTACCTGGCTCTGCGCCTGTTGGAGGACTCTGATCACCCAGGCTCTTGGTGACGCATCTGTAAGCCTACCCCATGGCAAACCCCTCAGAGCACCCCTGGGCCTTCATGCCCATCCCCTCTCTCTCTTCAGGTGGCTCGACGGTGGGGAATCCAGAAGAACCGACCGGCCATGAACTACGACAAGCTCAGTCGTTCTCTGCGCTACTACTATGAAAAGGGCATCATGCAGAAGGTGAGTGGGTCGGTGAGGGCTGTGAGGTCAGTGTCTCCCTGAGGAAAGGGGGGCGGGCTGCTGCAGCCGGACGGTGGGTGGAGTGGCAATCAATGCCCCCGGCCAAACGGCAGTGCTGTGAACAGTAGCCTGCCCTGGCACCCAGGGCCTGGTGAACGCACCCTCTGGCCCGTATGCCAATTGTACCGCTTAACTTCTGGTCTTGGCCGCACGAGTGCTCGGTCGAGGGCTTCTTCCTCCAGTATTCTGTGCCAGTGGCAGAACTGACCCATCCCTTTCAAGCCACATCCACGGATCCCGAGCAGTGTGTGGCATTCGAGAGTCTAAGAACATGACGGCCCCACTGGGTCCAAGCCCAGTGCTAGGTGCCCCAGGGAGCGAACACAACCGGGAATCATCAAATGGTCCCTCCCGTCACCCACTTCCAGCTTCTGGCAGTCAGATGTTTAGGGACACCCAGGCTACGTCTAGACTGGCATGATTTCCCGAAAATGCTTTTAACGGAAAAGTTTTCTGTTAAAAGCATTTTCAGAAAAATCACGTCTAGATTGGCAGGATGCTTTTCCGCAAAAGCACTTTTTGTGGAAAAGCGTCCGTGGCCAATCTAGACACGGTTTTCCGCAAAAAAGCCCCGATCGCCATTTTCGCCATCGGGGCTTTTTTGCGGAAAACAGTCCTGTGCTGTCTGCACTGGCCCTTTTGCGCAAAAGTCTTTCGGAAAAAGACTTTTGCCCGCATGGGAGCAGCATAGTATTTCTGGAAAAGCACTGATGATTTTACAGGAGATCGTCAGTGCTTTTCCGGAAATTCAAGTGGCCAGTGTAGACAGCTGGCAAGTTTTTCCCGCAAAATCAAATGATTTTGCGGAAAAACTTGCCAGTCTAGATACAGCCCCAGAGCATGGAGTTGCATCCCTGGCCATCTTAGGCAAAAGCCATTGATGGACCCGTCCTCCATCGATTTATCCAAGTCCTTTTTGAACTATTTTGGGCCTTTACCACATCCCCTAGAAGCATGTGTCACAGGTTGACTGTTGTGTGAAGAAATCCTTCCCTTTGTTTAAACCTGCTGCCTGTTAATTACATTGGGTTGACCCCTGGTTCTCGTGGTATGTGACAGAGTATATAACCCATTTTTTTTTCTCCATGTCATTCATGATTTTATAGACCTCACTCCTGTCCCACTTGAGTCTCCTCTTTCCAAGACAAAAAGTCTTTTTAAGTTCTCATTTTGCATGTAGAGTTGATTACGTTTTCCAGTGCACATTGCTTTGCATTTATCGACATTGAATTTTGTCAGTCGTTTTCTTGCCTAGTCCCCTGGTTTTGTAAGGCCCCTTTGTAATTCCTTGTGGGCTGCTTTGCACTGGACCCTTGTGAATGATTTGGTATCGTCAGCACATTTTGCCACCTCACTGTTTACCCCGTGTTTCCAATCGTTTACGAATATGTTGAACAGCACTGCTCCACTAAAGCTCCCTTAAGAACCACTGCGGTTTACCTCTCTGAAAGCCTTCTCGAAGGGATTGAAGCACATCTTCCATTCCAATGTAATGGCCAATATATGTCCAGACTCCCTAGACGTCTCTTGGAAAATATCTGCCAACACATACACATCTCCCCTTCCACAATCTCTTTCTATCTGGCGCACCTGTATCCGTGTTCCCTGTAAGCTGTGCGCTTGTACAGCTGCTCAGGAGAGAGTCAAATGCCGCCCAGCTGATTAGCTGTAGGCGCCCTGCTAAGTTTGGGTTTCTCCTGGTGGTGCACATGGCTTGGTGCACATAGCAAAACTTATTCTGCACACCAATAGAAAAAAATACGCACAGGGTTAGGAAAGATTAGCAGCAACATTGACCCTGATCTATAGGGGTGTTTGACAGCCTGCAGAAATGACCCATCCGTTTTTTGGGGGTTTTCAGCTCCTGGCTCTGCATTGTTCCCCCTTTTGGGGCAAAGCAGTGTCAACAGCCTTTCCAAGTAGAAGGAGCCGAATGTCCAGGAATGCGCTGTAGCCTCCCCGTTCTCCCACCCTAACGTAGCGGTGTCTCCGCTTCCAGGTGGCCGGCGAGCGGTACGTCTACAAATTCGTCTGTGACCCTGATGCCCTCTTCTCCATGGCCTATCCGGACAATCAGCGCCCCTTCCTGAAAACCGAGCCCGACTGCCCGGTGACTGAAGATGACACCTTGCCTCTGACGCATTTCGAAGACAACCCGGCTTACCTCCTGGAGATGGATCACTGCAGCGGCCTGCCCTATGCGGAGGGCTTTGCTTACTGACTGGCTGACCGCTAGCGCTGCATGGCCACGTCGGGGCAAACGAGCAGTGGCTTTGTAACGAATGTTTGCTCTTCGTCAAACTGGACTCTGTGAGCATGCTGGTGGAGCCTCTCAAATGTACATCCAGTGGCCCCGCTGACGACAGAATCCGGTAGCTTAAGGACTAGGGGTAGGTCTGCCAAAGGCTGCAGCCACGGAGAGACTTCCAGGGAGGAGGCTAAGGTGAAGTCTTTGTTCCAGGCCATGTTGCTGTGGACATACGTGGGAGGCGTGGCCGTTGTGCCCCCCCGGAACGTGGCTCGACAGCGAGTGTACAGCACATCGTCCAGACAATCTGCTTTGTATCAATCACAATACTCGTAGCTGCCTTGTGTGTTGGAAAGGGCTTTGTTTTGCACAGACAATGGATTCGCAGGGCGAGGGGGCAATCCGAGCTAGTCTGGTTTAGGCTTAAAGTGTGGTGCATGGCATCCTGGCAGTGGGACGCCGTTCTGGGTGGTTTCAAATGCATGGCACTCCAGTTGGAGCCGAGGAAACCTCCGTTTTCTCTCGCAACAAAAACAAACCCCACCACACAGCTCCCATAACTCCCAAACTGGCTCCTGATCTGTGGAGTCCGTCGCCTCCTCCCTGTTGGATGCTCGGGAGCGGGCTTTCATTGCAGGGGAAGAGGGGGTTGTGGCAGGGGGTTTTCCCCCACATGTTGGGGGAAAGTTTATAAACCAATTTTGTAGTCTTTTGTATTTTAAGGCAAAGCTGCTGTTTGCGAGCCCGGGGCTTCTGTTCTCCGTGGCAGCGCCAGTGCTCTGAGGACGTGGTGTCCTGCCTGGCGCCTTCGCCACCAGCCACGCCCGTTCGCGCCTGCTTTGCACACTTCGCGTCGGGTACTGAACAGAACAGGCGCGCTGTGCGTTTCAGAGCGTGCTTCTGCCAGGCAGCTGGGCGCCGCTGTTTGGGTCCTGCGTATGCAGCTCCCATGCTCTGGGAATTCTGTGTATATAATCCATGCATATCCCCTTGGGTTAACTGTCCGAGGCGTACCAGCCGGTGGCCCGGCTACCATGGTCCTCCCCAACTACCTATTCCCCTCCGTTTCACTGCTCCAATTTTAACCCTCCACCGCACTCTTTGGGCTTGAGACCGTGTGTGAAACAAACGAATAATAGAACCCTCCCTGTGAGTTGCACGTCACGGTTCCTTCTTCCGTGTGGTTAGGCTGAGCTGCATATTTTATAGGAGCAGGCTTTTTAAAAAAAGAATTAGGCTGTAATACCTGGATGGGGGAGGAGGTCAGGGCTGACTCACCATAAACAAAACTTACTCTGGTTCACCTAAACCCCACACCCTCATGCAGTTGCCGCTTCCTAACTAACCCGCACCACTCCCATATACGATACCTATATGCATCTTTTTCCCCCCGACTATCTATACGTTTTTGTTGTAAATGCTGTATAGGGGTTTTTTTCTTTCTTAGTTAACTTGGTTTGGGTTTGTTGACTGAGTCGTTACTTTTTTTTGGAAGTATGACGATTAACTCTTTGTAGCCTACATTTCTCTCCCCGTGATGTATAAAGTGGCCTGTACAGTCCTGAAATGTGGGGGTCAGGCATCGCTCCTGCACCGAGAGGTGGACGCTGGCTTTTATTCAGGGTGGAAAGTCGACAGTGCAGAAAGGGTTAATTTGACGACTGAGCTTTCCGTGAGCAGGGCCGGGCGCCCCCTGCAAAGCTGCGTTACATTCTGTACTGTGTACAATAAAGGGTTTTGCTTTCTGTTCCTTCCCGGCTGCTCCTTTCGCTTTCGTCTCCCAGGTGTCCTCTGTGTCCTGAAAATAAGGCTTGGGGAAGGTGTTTCTGATTTGCCTCCAGATCGCTGTGCGGGGGTCCCATCGATGCCAGGGATCCCTGCCTGGGAAAGTCGTTTCTCTTTGCTCACACAGCCTCTGAAAATCCTTCCGTGGAGGGCAAGGTGGCGTTTGGCTCCGTGGTGTGGGGGGGAGCACAGTGAGGCCAACGGGATCATGAAATGGCAACACTCCGAATGCTCTTCTAGCTCACGTGTGGCAGGAGATGCTTCTGGGGGGGTCTGACCTGGGAACGAGTGGCCCAGCTTTGGCCGTGGCTGCACTTTCCGAGCTGTCCTACTTCAACGTAGAAACACGTGCGCCATAGAGAGACCCCGAAGGGGCTTCAGCAGCTCTCCGGCCGGCTGCCCTGCCTGACTAGTGCAATGCCTCGTCGCAGGGCAATGCATGGAGACACGCAGGGAGGGGCCTGGCTCTGAATTTCTATAGTCATGGGCAGGCCTTTCGTGCTGCCCTGCTACTGAGAGCTTTTTAATACCTCCCCCCTGCCCCTGGGAAGGCCTTTCGTGCTGCCCTGCTACTGAGAGCTTTTTAATACCCCCACCCCACCCCTGGGGCAGTATTCAGGGTTCCCCGCAGCCCCAAGCCTCTTCGCTAGGGTTAGCGCCGGCTTCCTTTTCCTGCTCAATGTTATGGAAGGGGCAGAAGGAAACTGACAGTGATTACACTTGCCCTCCCCTTGCAGGATTTTGCCTTGGGTTGAGAGGCAGAGGGGCAGAAGCGGGTGTGAACCCCCCGGGCCTTGTCTTGGGCTCTGCTCAGAGTCTGCGCTGAGTTCTGATGCCAGCTAGAACCCTGGGGGCACCTAAACTCTTCTGGTGCCTGAATCCTCACTGTAAAAGTTCTCTGCAGGGCTCACGTCCTGCCTCCGAGTGCGTATGCTGCTGCTTCCCTCTAGGCACCTACCCCCAGAAAGCTCCACGCGCCAACCCGAGCAGCCCTCCGTCCCCCTGGGAACTGATCTGGGGGGTGCCCTACCAGACCCCCTGCCAGAGGAGGGATGGTGGGTGCCGCTCTAACTGATCCCAGGGTTTAGAGCCCTGGCCTGGGGTGTGGCAGACTCAGGTTTGATTCCCCTCTGCGGGAGCTGGGGACAGGGTTTGAAAGTGCCTTGCAATTGGAGAGAGGTGACTCGCGTGTGCCTGGGCTGCTCAGGAGCATGCCCTCAGGGCAGGCAGCTGCTTCTAGTCCAAGTTTGGACTCCAATAACACGTAGCGCGAGGCACTTAGGAGCTAATCGTAAGAATTTCCTCTACCGGCTGAGGGGGCAAGAGCTGCCCCTGTGAGCCAAGGGCAGGGGGTCTGTGCACCACCAATATGCTGTGACTGGGGAAAAGGCAGCTGGGATCCTGGCAAGGCATTGCCAGCGGCAGCAGAGATACAGCAGTGCTGCCGTGCCAGGCGGTGTGAGCGCACTCGGAGTCCTGTGCCAGTTCTGCTCACTCACGCAGCGCAGGCAGGCGGGGGTCAGGGGCCCTCCCAGACTGCTTGGTCACATGATGTGGCTTCACATCCCAGTGAAGTGGCTGAGCCAGTGAGCTGAACCTGGTTGCGAGAGGCAGGAGACAGAGCAGAGGAATCTCTGGGAGCTGCCCTATGAAGAGAGATTAAAAAGACCGGGGCTTCTCAGCTTAGAAACGAGGAGACTGAGGAAGGGGATATGATAGAGGGCTATAAAATCATGACTGGTGTGGAGAAAGTGAATAAGGAAAAGTTATTGTTCCCATAACATAAGAACTAGGGGTCACCAATTGAAATTAATAGGTAGCAGGTTTAAAACAAAAGGCAGTATTTCTTCACTCAATGCGCAGTCAACCTGTGGAACTCCTTGCCAGAGGATGTTGTGAAGACTAGGACTTGAACAGGGTTCATTAAAAAGACCTAGATAGATTCATAGAAGTTAGGTCCATCAATGGCTATTAGCCAGGATGGGTAGGAGTGGTGTCCCTAGCTTCTGTTTGTCAAGGGCTGGAAATAGATGACAGGAGAGGGATCACTTAATGATTCCCTGCTCTGTTCACTCCCTCTGGGGCATCTGGCATGGGCCCCTGTCGGCAGACAGGACACCGGGCTAGATGGACCTTTGGGCTGACCCAGTCTCAGTCTGGCTGTTCTTATGTTCTTGCACATTAAGATGAGTTTACAGGGGAGCAGGTTCGGGGAAAGGCCGGCTCACGCCAGCAGAGGAGAGGCCTGCGAGAGAGTGGCTTGTGGAGAAGCACAATGAAGGCTGAGCCAGCTGGTCTTTCCCGTGGTGTATGTGCAGTGAGCTCAGGGAAGGTGAGGAGCGAATGGAAAATCTAGGCCGAAGTGCAAGCGGGGATGAACTAAGGCTGGAATGAGACGATGGTTTCCAGCCCTCCGAGGACGGCGGTTCTGCCGCAGCCTCTCTGTAGGAGCCGTGGGGCATGGAACCCAACTTGTTTGCCCCAGGGACCCTGGAGAGCCCCTTCACTACGACGGTCCAGGCCTCGGTGCAGCCCACCGGCCTCTCCTCTGCTGCTGTGGGGCAGAATACGCCTTTCGCATGGCAACGTGGCCAGAGCCAAACCTCCGCCATGCCGAGGAGGGGAGCTCTCAGTTTGTCGCAGCCCCGACGCCCGGGCAGATGGCTACCCCTCGTTCACCCAGTGGCCGATGCTGAGCTGGCAGGCAGCCGGTTTGGGGGGCAGCCGCTGTGACAAGGCCGTGTGCCGGTGATTCGAAGCCTCTCAGCCCGTCCCGTAGCACTTGGCTGGCGCTCCTGCACGCAGCGCAAAAGGGGAACGTGCCTCTTCAAAGCCTGCGGGCGGGGGGGGGGGGGCCTCTCCGCTGAGGTCGCTCTGCCTCCTGCGCTCCCCGGTTCCCGCCGTGGGGCACCCCAGGAGCGGAGCCTGGCTTCTGTGCGGCTGCATTGCCAGGCCTGGTTGCCATAGCGATGAACATGGCTGCTGCTTCGGAGGCCGGCGCTGCCCCAAACCAGGCAGCTGGCAGTAGGATGTCCCCGAGAACAGCAAGGGCGGCCAGAAAGTCCCCCCGCTGCTTCGCATCTGACCGGGGCAGCTCAGCACCTGACCCTGCAAGTTAGGCAGCAAATGCTGAAGGTTGGATTCAATGGCCGTCCTGTTTTCTTACCCGCTTCCCCTCCAGTCCAGTGTTTACGTGTCCTAATTGGCTACCACAGGGCTTGTCTGCCAGCAGGCAGGGACCACTGGGAAGCCAGCTGATCTTCGCAGGGCTAAACAAAGCGATCAGACCTGCCTGTGGTCTAAGGTCAAATGTTCAGGAGGTAGCACGAACCGGTGTGAACGCGGTCTCCTGCAGCTCATCCCGCCCTCTCCAGGGAACCGGGGGAGCCCCCCAGTGCTATCTTCACGCTCCGGGAGACCTTCTCTTCACAGACAGGGCCGTATTACCAGCCCCTCACTGGAGGTGAAGAAGCTGAGGCCCAGAGAGAAGCGAATCCAGTGCTCCAGGCTAGGACACCTAGCCAAGCTCAATGGCTCATTTACCATCGCTCAGCCTCCAGCCGGCCAGCTTTCCCTTGCAAAGGCAGAATGCAGCCTCTGTGGAAACAAACGAGTCCTTTTTTTTTCAAATTAATGGAGATTGCCTGTCTCCTAGAACTGGAAGGGATCTTGAAAGGTCATTGAGTCCAGTCCCCTGCCTTCTCAGCAGGACCAACATCCCTGACAAATTTTTGCCCCAAATCCCTAAATGGCCCCCCTCAAATTCAGGGTTGTGAGTTCAATCCTTAGCAGGCCAATGCTCAAACCACTAAGCTATCCTTCCCGCCTCCGCCATGCTATGAAACCAGCCGAATCTGTGACCCAAGCAGCCGTTTGCCCCTGTGTTGGCTGTGCAATCCGGAAATGCAGCTAGCCTGGCCCAAACCTAGCACCCTTTGCCACCCTTCATCAGCTGGCCAGAGGCTTTGTTTAGGAGCTGCACCTTTGCCCGGCGTGGCAGGGGAGAAAGCAACTCCGTTTCCATGCAGTCCATAGCCATCGGCCAAAAAAAGAATGAGACTCCCCCTCCATGCGTGCTCCTCATGGAACAATCCATTGTTAGTGCATGTTGCACTATGCAAGATGGCTTCTGTTAAACTCAAGCCAGTTAGATGCTCAGGAATCTCTTGTGTATTTTATATTTAGGCTACTTAGCTGGAGCCTTCGTTCTGCCGGGAGGGCACACAATCACTACAGTATTGGAGGCAACCACACAACTTTCATTTGTCTTCAGAGGGTCCCCAGTGGCCTCCCTCGGGGGCTGGATTCTCCTTCTGCCTGGGGTGTCAGAGAGCTGCATGGTTGATGCTTCTCCATCCAAAAGGCTGTGTTGGTATGGGCTGCTGTGATGGGGTGCGTGCCCTTCACAGGTCTAGAAAGGGTTAACCTCAGGAGGGAGCAGTGAAGCATAGTCCACCGAGCAGCCCAGAGAGGCTGTGAGAGGTGCAGCCAATCAGGGAAGAGGCTGCAAGGAGCAGCCAATCAGGCCCAGCAGGCTCACCTAAGAGGGCCTGCAGGTGAGAGACGGGTCAGTCAGGGCCAGGAGCCCAAGGAGGGAGGACTGTGTCCCTTGCAGGCTGAAAGAAAGCTAGCACCATGGACAGGTCAGTTACGGGCAGGGACTACTAGGGGAGCAAGAGGGAGCTTCTGGCTGGATGGCTGCAAGGATGAGCAGCTGAGGGTGAAGAAGGTGCTGGAGTTGTGGCCCAGGGGATTGTAGCAGCGGCGTGAGGATCAAGAGGCACAGCAGGCTCCCTGGGATAGTAGGGGCAAGCCTAGGCCCCTCTCTCCCTTGGGGAAGTGGCGTGATTTGCTAGACTGAAGCACTAAGCTCTGGACGGCCAGAGGGCTGAGGCGTGGAAAGGGCGCTGTGGTACCCGAGGCTGTGAGTGGGGCTGCAGGCAGATGCAGGGACAGAATAATAG